CGTCATTGTTGTTTGGCAGGTCCGGGCTGGGGATTCGAACCCACCACCTTAGGTGTACGTGGCTGGCACCTTAGCCGGTTGAGCTATAGGCGCCGAGCCGAATTGTGTGGTTCTTGAGCGTGAACTTTGCAGACACATTGGGTCATAATGTCATTCACTATTTGTGCACATGTGGTTTCAGTTTTACACAATGTGCATCTTCCAATGTGTTATCTTCCACGTGCAGACAGTCAAACTGACACATCAGACGTTCCATGTGCTTGTGGTGACTTGGGAGGCAGCGATTATCAATAATGTTTCAACCTGCTGTCACAATGTTAGGTGTTTAATGTCATTAAGTCAGGTAAGCATCCATCCTTATTTGATGATTAAGGTGCTTCCACACTGGGCAGCGCCTCGCACGCTGCCTGCCATGCTTTACGATTGGCCCTTTGCCTCACCCTGCATCAGTAGCCAAGCTATAGAAGGACTCAAATCTTGCTTTCTATTTTCCCATCAATTAATTTTCAGAATAAAAGTAAACAGTCCCTGATCCGTAATTATTTTTTAATCCCAGTGTGGCTTCTACAATGTCTCAAAAGAAAACTGAACCTCAAAAAAGAAAAATTACGAAGGAAGACTGTTCAATGAAAAGTGGACAGATGACTACTTTTATGTTGAGGCAAACAGTAAGGCACTTTGCTTAATTTGTAGAAAATTTGTGCAAGTTTTCATGCTGTCAAATTTGATGCATATGAAGGACTGTGGCATAAAGGTAAAATAATGGCACTGAAAAAAAGTCTGTCTTCTCAACAAAAAATAATTTTTTTTTTTTTTTTTTTGAGACAGTCTCACTATGTTGCCCTCAGTAGAGTGCTGTGGCATCACAGCTCATAGCAACCTCAAACTCTCGGGCTTAAGTGATTCTCTTGCTTCAATCTCCTAAGTAGCTGGGACTACAGGTGCCAGCCACAATGCTCAGCTATTTCTTGTTGTTGTTGTCATTGTTGGTTAGCAGGCCTGGGCCAGGTTTGAAACTGCCAGCTTCGGTGCATGTGTGGCTGGCTCCCTAATCACAGAGTTACGGACACCAAGTCAACACAAATTTTTTTTTTTAAAGTTACAACTCAGATTCCATTATAAAAGCTATTTATGTATTAGCAAAAAAATAAAAGCCATTTACTGATGGTGAGTTTATTAAACAATGTATGGAAAGCACAGCAGATATAATTTGCCCTGAAAAAAAGGGGTGTATTTCTAAAATCAGTTTGTCTCACCAGACTACTTAAGCCAGGTAAATTGAAGAAACTGGACAATCTATCGAAAGAAGTTTGGAGAGTAAAGTTGGTAATTTTAAATTTTAAGCTTTGGTGATGGAGGACAGCACTGAAGCTACAAATACAGCTCAACTTGCCATTTTTATTAGACGTATTGATGACGAATATAA